TCTGCATGAAGAGCTAAGGAAAGAGAATTGTCAGCAGAGGCAACAGGAGATGTGAAAGCTCCTGAGTGGGAAAAGGTTTGGTGTATTCACCAACAGAGGAGAGACAAGTCTGGTTATACTTGTGGATGTGAGCAAGTAGGAAATGGGGTGAGATAAGATTGGAGCAGCAGGCAAAAACCAAGCTCTTCCCAGTGCCTTATTCTAGGAACAATTAGAATCTTTGAAGGTTTTCCATCAGGGAGCATGATACTGTGACACTTCAGATGCTTAGGAAGAACAGACTGGGGAAAGACAAATGTGGAGGAGGGTCCACCTGAGAGGGGATGGTAGTGGAGCAAGAGAGACACAAATAGATTCATGCAATATGTCTACCCAATATTATAGTTATACTCCAACTATGTTATATACTTCTTGAGGACAACACCCTCATCTTGGACTTCTGTTGATCACACATACATCTGTAGAACACTGATCATGTACCAAGCACTGCACTTGTTAGTTTGCTTCATCCTCATATTGGTCCTATGAAATAGTTATTTTTTTCCATTTTATAAGCAAAGAAACCTCACAGAGGTTAATTTTGAAATCCATATCTGTCTGATGCCATAGCCAACTGTTGTATCTCTACAACTTTGTATATATAAATATTCATAAATATGTACTGGGTAGGTAAAAACTAAGTCACCCATTACCCAAGTAGTGTAATGTGCAGAGTGCAGGAGAGTCTTTGGGCGAAAAATAGCTTTCCTCACTGTGGAAAACAGTATGGAGGTTCCTCAAAAAATTAAAAATAGAACTACCCTACGACACAGCAATTGCACTGCTAGGTATTTATCCAAGGGATACAGGTGTGCTGTTTCAAAGGGACATATGCACCCCAATGTTTCTAGCAGCACTATCAACAATAGCCAAGGTATGGAAAGAGCCCAAATGTCCATCGATGGATGAATGGATAAAGAAGATGTGGTATACACACACACACACACACACACACACACACACACACACACGATGGAGTATTACTCAGCAATCAAAAATAATGAAATCTTGCCATTTGCAGCTACGTGGATGGAACCAGAGGGTATTATGCTAAGCGAAATTAGTCAGAGAAAGACAAATATCATATGACTTCACTCATATGAGGACTTTAAGACACAGAAAAGATGAACACAAGGGAAGGGAAGCAAAAATAATGTAAAAAACAGGGAGGGGAACAAAACATAAGAAACGCAAAAATGGAGAATAATCAGAGGGTTATTTGAAGGGTTGTGAGAGGGGGAGATGGGCTAAATGGATAAGGGGCATTAAGGAATCTACTCCTGAAATCATTGTTGCACTATATGCTAATTTGGATGTAAATTAAGAAAAAATAAAATTAAAAAAATAGCTTTCCTACATTTGGACAACTTCTTAGGATCTGAAGTCCCAGCTAAGCAAAAGATAGATGATGTGGGGGACAAAAAACACAACTTGTCTTTGTCAGCTGTTAAATTAACAGGGAACTCTGTATTCCTAAGTAATACCATTAGAGATTGGGATGCAGGAAAGTTGCATTTGGAATTGAGAGCACTAGTTCTGGAAAATGAGGGGAGGCATTGAGGATAACATAGGGGTGATGAATGCTGGAGAGAGCAATGATAGATACCAATGAAAATACCTACCAGTTGTGGAGTGCCTATTAGGTACTGGGCATTCAGTAGGCATACCAGACCTGTTAGATTATTTTGGTGCTTATAAACTTCTCATAACAATCCTATCAGTAGACATAATTGTGTTTCTTTGATTCTAAAAGGCCATCAATTTAATAAAAAGCTTTTCAAAGAAAACATACATTGCACTTACACCATGATGTTTTATTGTGTTTAGTTTCTACTAATGGAATATAGAATGCATTTAATCATAACATAACTATTTTATAATTCATGATAACAATGCAAGTTTGAGTTCAAGCCTTCATATTCAGAGTCTAAAGAGTCTTCTTGTTCTTTTTCACTGTGCACGGACAGTGCTCTATAACCCACCTGGGACTTCTTTCACAACTTTAGGATTGACAGTGTAATTTAGAGCAGAAGAAAGAAGAAAGAGTTTCTTCTGCATTTCCCATTTTATTAAACTTATAGTTTCCCTCCCATCATCTGTCTTTTGACTGAGAAATACTCCTTCACAATGCATGACAACCACAGTTTTTCCCAGTTTTGAAAATCATGTGACCTATGCTTAGAGATTTGTCCAAATCTACAAATATGCTGGTGTTGACATCCCAGTGTATTCCTCAATGTGGTGACTGGCAAGGTTATTGTTATGTTAAGCATTGATTATAAAATGCATTCCTTTAACTTTTAAGTTTTTTATTTTAATTCCAGTATAGTTAACATACAGTATTATATTAGTTTTAGGTGTACAACATAGTGATTCAGCAATTCCATATATCACTTGGTGTTCATCACTGACAAGTGTACTCCTTAATCCCCATCACCTATTTCACACATCCCCCCACCCACCTCCCCTCTGGTAACCATCACTTTGTTCACTATAGTTAAGTCTGTGTTGTGGTTTTTCTTTTTCTCTTTTTTTCCCTTTGTTCATGTTTTGTTTCTTAAATTCCACATACGAGTGAAATCGTACAGTACTTTTCTTTCTCTGACTTATTTAACTTAGCATTATATACTTTAGCTCCATCCATGTCGTTGCAAATGGCAAAATTTCATTCTTTTACATGGCTGAATAATATTCCAGTGTGTATGTGCATGTGTGTGTGCGCGTGTGTATATCATAGCTTCTTTATCCATCCATCCCACTTAGGCTGCTTCCATAGATTGGCTATTGTAAATAACACTGCAACAAACATAGGGGTACATGTATCCCTTTGAATTAGTGTTTGTATTTTTGGTATAGATACTCAGTAGTGAGATTACTAGATTGTACATTCCTATTACTTTTTTTTTTTAATTTTTTTTTTCAACTTTTTTTTTTTATTTATTTTTGGGACAGAGAGAGACAGAGCATGAACGGGGGAGGGTGAGAGAGAGGGAGACACAGAATCAGAAGCAGGCTCCAGGCTCCGAGCCATCAGCCCAGAGCCTGACGCGGGGCTCGAACTCACAGACCGCGAGATCGTGACCTGGCTGAAGTCGGACGCTTAACCGACTGCGCCACCCAGGCGCCCCCCTATTACTTTTAAAAACATGTTAAGTGTGTTTCAGAATCACTTTGCGAAACTGAAGGTACTTCTCAATGTTTGAGGGTACAATTATTTCCCTCCTCTTTCTCTCCTGAACGCTCTCTGGTAAAGTCTTTTTTTTTTTACTCCTTCACCCAAACTACTCTCATCGAGGTCAGTACCTCCACCTGGCCAGATCCATTGACCAATACAGTCATCATCGGCAGCACTTGACACCATCCTTATGAAACAGTTTCCTTCTTATGTCTCCTCTATCAGTTAGAGCCTTCTCAGTTTCTCTTTCTCATTCTTCCTCACCTTCCTGACCTTCATTAACCAGTCCTCAGACTTCCCTTATCTTCCTGCCTTTACTTCTGTAGTGAAGTCATCTAGTGACATAGCTGGCTACTAGAACAAGCAACTTTTACATGGAAATGTACAGCTCCTCACCCATCCTTCTGCCTACCCTACAGCACTCTTTGGATGTCTAATTGACTCTGCAAACTTAATGTCTTAAACCAAACTCCTACTTTCCACCCCATCTCATCCTAAACTGGCTCTTTTTGTAGTCTTTTGTTTCTCAATAAATGGCAACTTATGGCCTCTAGTTGCTTGGATAAAAACATTGAAGGAGGCACCTGGGTGGTTCAGTCGGTTAAGTGTCTGACTTCAGCTCAGATCATAATCTCACATTTTGTGACTTCAAGCCCCGTGTCGGGCAATGTGCTGACAGCTCAGAACCTGGAGCCTGCTTTGGATTCTGTGTCTCCCTCTCTCTCTGTCCCTCTCCTGCTTGCACTCTCTCTCTGTCTGTCTCTCAAAAATAAATAAACATTAAAAAACAAAGCATTGAAGTCATTCTTGACTCCTTTCTTTCTCTTATGTCTGGCATCCAGTCCAGTAGCAAATCCTATCAGCTCAACTTTAAAATTATACCTAAAATGTAATACACTGCTACCACCCTGGCCCAGCCATGTTAGTCACTCACCTAATGTAATTGGCCCACCACTTCCATCCAGGCCAATCAGCAGCCCACTGTCTCCAACCTGCAGTCAGAGTGACCCTCCACAGCCTAAGTCAGATCAAGTAATAAGCTTCTCAGAGTCACACAGGGGCTCCTCATCTTAATCAGAGTAAAAGTCCAAGCCCTATGGCCAACCACACTCTATGTTTCCTGGAACCTGCTAGTTCTCTGACTTCTGACTATTGTACACCGCCCGCATTGCTAACTATCCTCCAGCCAGACTGGTCTCCTGGATGATCTTACATATGCCAAGCACAAGCTACCACAGGGACTTAGAGCTTTTGCTCTTGAGGCTTCTGAGCATCTCTCTTCCCCAGATTTCCACATGGCTGCTCCCTCATTTTCTTGAGGTTTCTTCAAGCAGTACCCCAACAAAGAGGCCTCCTTTGTGCCACCTGTATAAAATAATGACCTCCCAGAATTCTATGCTGCTCACTGTGCTTTATTTCCCCGCTCCCAGCACATATATCCTAAGGATGGTAAACATTGATTTGTTGATGGCTTGTCCACACTACGTTGAACACAAGCCCCATGAATGTGGGGACAATAACCATGTTAGTCACTACTGTATCCCAGGACTTAGAAGAGGGCCATCCCAAAGGAGGGTCTCAGTGATGTTTGTTGAATTAGTAGACAAAGGAAGAGTGAACGAAAGAGTCCAGTAACAGAGTCAAGGCTGAGTTTTCATCAGGAGAAGCATACATTTCTCTACTGCTCAGATCTGGCCATCAGAGCAGCTCCTCACAAAGTCACCATTGAGGACTGTGCCATGGCTTGCTCATCTCAGGCTGACTTCTACCTTTTGTCCCCTTACAGGTCTACAGCTCTCCCAGGTTCTGTGAGAATTCTGCTATGACCGCAGCTTCTTCTTGGTACCAGGACTGCCCCTTACTGCTGCAGCCACACCAGATCCCTGCTCTGCCCTGTCTGTCTTTAGCCCCAAGTCAGCATGGGTAGTGTCAGTAGCCTCATTTCTGGCCACAGCTTCCATGGCAAGCACTGCCGGGCTTCACGGTACAAGCTGGGCAAGTCCTCCCATCTCAAGAAACTCAATCGATATTCAGATGGGCTTCTGAGATTTGGCTTCTCCCAGGACTCAGGCCATGGCAAGTCCAGCTCCAAAATGGGAAAGAGTGAAGACTTCTTCTACATCAAGGTCAGCCAGAAAGCCCGGGGCTCCCACCACCCAGATTACACTGCACTGTCTAGTGGGGACATAGGCGGCCAGGCTGGGGTGGACTTTGGCCCGTCCACCCCACCCAAGCTTATGCCCTTCTCCAGTCAGCTAGAAATGGTAAGCAAGGGTCTTTGGTAAGAGTGGGTGGGTTGGAAAAGCAATAGAGAGCAAAATGGGAAGAAGAGAGTGGGGGCAAGGATGGGAATGAAGGCAGTGATACAAACATTTAAAAACCCAAGAAGCCAGGGCAGTGGTGGTGAGGGTGGAAATGCTCAGTCACACCACAGAGATCAAAGGCTGGATGAGGGAATTGAAGCACTGGTCATTCCCCTAAACTGGAAGTCTTGAGTGATCCCTTACACAAAAAGGAAAAGAGAAATGAAAGCCTTTCTGAGCCCTACTGGAATGTAACTCTGGATTGTCAAAACAGGACCAACAGCAGCATTTTCAAGTACATGGCAAGGGGAGGGAGCTGTATTATCATCTGGAAGAGCCAATGGAGAGTCTGCTTGTAGAGAGCTAGCAGCTTTGCTGCTAGCAGACTCCTGAAGGTGGGCCTTTCCCTCACTTGCTGCTGTTGTGGTGCAGCAGCTCCTCACTAAAGCCAGGCCTTGAAAGTGTCTTTGGTGGGATAAGAACTGAGTTTGTTATCATCAGTTTAGCAGAAATGAGGTCAAAAGAGGCCTATAAAGTCAGAAATCCAGCCCTTATGCCAGCTCAAGTTCTCATGGGTCCAACCAGTGGACTTGAGAACAATTTCCCTAGTTAATCACATGCCCCCACTTGGGGGGATGAATCCATGACTTTGATATTCTAGGAAGTGACCCACTTAGTTTGCATAGAGCTTTAAGCTTTTCAAATTTAAAGGGTTTGTAGACTGCAAGGTACTCTTCCAATGAAAATGACAGTTTTAAGAAAAGGATTGTTGGGGCGCCTGGGTGGCTCAGTCAGTTGAGCGTCAGACATTGGCTCAGGTCATGATCTCATGGTCTGTGAGTTCGAGCCCCGCGCCGGGCTCTGTGCTGACAGCTCAGAGCCTGGAGCCTGCTTCGGATTCTGTGTCTCCCTCTCTCTCTGCCCCTCCCCCACTCAAGCTCTGTCTCTCTCTGTCTCAGAAATAAACATTAAAAAAAAAAAAAGGATTGTTATTGCAAGTGGTCTTCCCAACCCTTTGATATTAGTCACAGCCAGTATTCTTGCTTCTGGCCTACTGGAAGGGGCAGTGAAGGTGAAGAAGGGATGCTTGTTGACCATGCTTGTTAAGCCTAATGCCCTTACCCTACACCACACAGAGACCCAGAACCAGAGCCCTGGCCTAGGGATCTCAGCCAGGGAACCTAAAGATGCTATTCATCATCTCACAAGGGCTGGTACAGCTGATGACAGGTTAGTAGTTTGTAAAACAAAGTAACTCAGTGATCCTTAAGTACATCCCCTAGCCACAAAGGAATTCCTCCTTCTTGAGAGAGACTCACCATATTCAGCTGCTTCATAGCAACAGGCAAGATCGCCTATGGTTATTACCAAAAAGGATGCTGTGTGGCCAGCATACACACCCAGCAAGGGAGGGAAAGGTGAGAGGGGAGTTGAAGTGAGACATGGAATCAATATGGTTGTTTTCCTCACCAGGGGTCAGAGAAAGGTGCAGTGAGGCCCACAGCATTCAAGCCTGTGCTGCCACGGTCAGGAGCCATCCTCCACTCATCCCCTGAGAGTGCCAGCCACCAGCTGCACCCTGCCCCTCCAGACAAGCCCAAGGAACAGGATCCAAAGCCCAGCCTGTGCTCTGGGGCACTGTCTGACTCTGGCCGGAACTCCATGTCTAGCCTGCCCACACACAGCACCAGCAGCAGCTACCAGTTGGATCCACTGGTTACACCAGTGGGGCCCACCAGCCGTTTTGGGGGCTCAGCCCACAATATCACCCAGGGCATCATCCTCCAGGACAGCAACATGATGAGTCTGAAGGCTCTGTCTTTCTCCGATGGGGGCAGCAAGCTGGCCCACCCAAGCAAGGCAGACAAGGCTTCCTCATGCATCCGCTCCCCCATCTCCACAGATGAGTGCAGCATCCAGGAGCTTGAGCAGAAGCTGCTGGAGAGGGAGGGAGCACTCCAGAAGCTGCAGCGTAGCCTTGAGGAGAAGGAGCTGGCCTCCAGTCAGGCTTATGAAGAGCGGCAGTGGCGCTGCAAGGAGGAGCTGGATGGCCTGGAGCAGAAGTGCAGTGGCAAGTTGAAGCAAGCCTCACAGAAGAGCCAGCGCACACAGCAGGTGCTGCACCTCCAGGTGCTCCAGCTCCAGCAGGAGAAGAGGCAGCTCCGGCAGGAGCTTGAGAGCCTCATGAAGGAACAGGACCTGCTGGAGACCAAGCTCAAGTCCTATGAGAAGGAGAAGACCAGCTTTGCCCCTGCACTGGAAGAGACTCAGTGGGAGGTGAGGCTTATGGTGGGGGCTTGGGGTGGTCAGCTATTTGATACCAGTCCCCACTTCTCCTCTAGGTTCTAGCCCATGGTGTGTGTACACAAATTGCCCAAAGTGAGTCAGAGTGCCAGACTTGTGACCCAAACAAAGGGCTCCATGGTGAACCATGTCGGGAGTACAATTAGTGTGAGCTTCCTACTCTCTCCTGCCTCAGGGCCTCATGGCCTCCAGAATTCAACTTGCTAACTGAGTCATTGACTGAGGAGCTGGAACTGAGAGAATAGAGGCCTCACTGGCCTGAGGGCCGACCCACTTCATCTACTTGCAGGAAGCTCAAAAGAAACACAAGCCATGCCTGAGCATGAGTTCACGCTGGTTCAAGAGCCCACAAGAGAGCAGACTTTGTTATTTTTGAGAGAAGGAACCCCACGCACTAGTAAGAGTGACCTCATTTGTGGCAGGTATCACTGACAGAATGGGCCATTCTACACTGACAGAATGTAAGTGGGGCTTCTAGTTGGTGGACTGCAATGGAAACATAGAAGAGCAAGAGAAGGGCACACCATACCTGGAAATGAGGCATCTGGACCTGGCTTAGCTGGAGAAGCTAATCCCCACATTCTGATCTCCAGAAAATAGCTTTTCTCACCTGAAGGGCCTCTCAAGGTGGCACAGGGGACAGATAGGGGTGTGGGCATGGTGGTTCTTTTATTCTCCCCAAAGACTCCTACCCTGGAAAGGAACTGAGGAGGCATTGTGTCTGATTAGACCAGTGCCACCCCAGGTCAGGGTGACACATCCTCAGCAACATAAGCACCTGTTTGCACTGGAGCTTTCTGTACTCATTCTAGAAATTAGGGTGACAGGGGCGCCTGGGTGGCGCAGTCGGTTAAGCGTCCGACTTCAGCCAGGTCACGATCTCGCAGTCCGTGAGTTCGAGCCCCGCGTCGGGCTCTGGGCTGATGGCTCAGAGCCTGGAGCCTGTTTCCGATTCTGTGTCTCCCTCTCTCTCTGCCCCTTCCCCGTTCATGCTCTCTCTCTGTCCCAAAAATAAATAAACGTTGAAAAAAAAAAAAAAGAAATTAGGGTGACAAATGTTATCAGGAGTAGAGAGGAAAATGATCCTTTCTATGAAAGAGATGAATGGGGGTACTGGAAAGGTGAGAAGGGAAAATCACTTATTTGCCAGGCTTCCCACAGAGGAAAGGATGCTGGCCATAGGGGTCTTTCCTCTTTCCTATTGATGATGGCACAGAAGACCCCACCCTAACGATCATTTCTCAGCCAGGGATCAGAGACATTTTGGGGTACCTCAAAGATATAAGCTCGTCCTGGTGCTAGGCATCCATGCTTATTTGTCCAATTCCCAGCTAAGCTAGACATCACTGTGACCTCATTCCCAGATTGTCCATTCAGTCTAGACAGTAAAACAATAAATAGAATAAGTATTTATAATATCACATAAATATATTGCAAACATATTTAGAATAGTAATTTATCAAGTGTTTATTAAGTGCCAAACCTTAGGTTCTCCCATTTAATCCTTATAATAACCCTACTTCATAGGGTTATTATATAAAGTAGGGTTATAATAAATAATCCTTAATTTAGTTAAGAAAACTGACAACACAGAGGTTATAGTAGCAAACAACTAGTTAAATGACTTGCCCAAGATCACCACATAATAGGTATCAGAGCCAGGATTTGATTTAATGATTTGGCTCCAAAGTTCACATTTTTAATCACTACCCCATACTATCACCAAGATCAGCCAATCATATACAGATGTGGTCGAGCCAGGATTCAAAAGCAGGCCCATACCTCAACCATGACTCTATGTTGCTCCCTCCATGAAACAAACAGGCTTTGCCTTAGAAAGACATTCCTGGTCCCACACAAGCATTGTGGATGAGGTTATGCATTGCTTCATAAGTGGCTCATGAGAGCAAGGAGTTGGGGGTTCCTACTGTGAGAGAAGTGAGGAAAAATTAAGGTAGCTTCTGGTCTTGTTCCAAGAATCCATTCTGTAGAGGCCCAGGCTCTGACCTTCATTCTGTCCAGCTTTCCCACAGGCCAGCAGGAAACATTCTTGTGACACAGCCAACCAGACTGGCCTAGGTCATCTTTTGAGCCACCCATGACCCCAAATGGTCAAGACCCCAGAGATGCATGGGTCTGAATCAGTGCCTTTGATTTTGTCTGCTGCTTTTGGCCAACTTTCGAAGGGGAATAAGAATAGAAATGGTGGAGGGGTGGGGCAGGGGGAGAACATAGTAGCTTGTCATTTGGCAGATCTGAATTGGACACTGTTTCTGAGGCAGGCATGTTGCTGGTCATTGGCATGTAGCTGGTCATTGGTGTGTAGCAGTTAATACTTGAAAATAGTCTTTATCCCCAGTAGGGAAGGAGGGGAGCCAGGTATGCACAAGGATGAGGTCAGAAGATGTGGGCACAAACATGAATGACACAAGTTTGCCAGACATGGAACTCAAGGTCATTAATGTTAAGTGTGGATGATGGAGCTACCAGTAGTGAGCATTGGTTTACACACAACCATGGGTTTGGGTACTGATTGAGATATAGACTCTAATTTGGGGTTGAGACAGGCATGTGGACAGACTAAGACTACAGAATGACAGGAACCTCAGAGAGGGGCTTGGCCTTCACGGGTCACCCAGACCATCATGCCTGGGAACTCTCTTGAGACACCATGTCAGGACCAGCCTAATTCTTTAGGCAGTTAAGATGTTACTCTCCCCAGATAAGGACCTCTTATATCTTAGCACCTTCTCTTCTTCCCAACCCAACCCTTGGCAGGTGTGCCAGAAGTCGGGTGAAATCTCTCTTCTGAAGCAGCAGCTGAAGGAGTCCCAGACAGAAATCAACACCAAGGCTAGTGAGATCCTTAGTCTGAAGGCACAGCTGAAGGACACACGGGGCAAACTGGAGGGCATGGAGCTGAAGACTCAGGATTTAGAGAGTGCTCTGCGCACCAAGGGCCTGGAGCTAGAGGTCTGTGAGAATGAGCTTCAGCGCAAGAAAAATGAGTCCGAGCTTCTCCGAGAGAAGGTGAACCTGCTGGAGCAGGAGCTGCTGGAGCTGCGGGCCCAGGCTGCCTTGCAGTGGGAAGCTGTGTCTCTGGGGCCAGGGCTAGGGCCAGGGCCTGGGACTACCTTCTCTGAGGACATCCCCGCCCTGCAGCGGGAGTTGGAGCGGCTGCGTGCAGAGCTCAAGGAGGAGCGGCAAGGCCATGACCAGATGTCCTCAGGCTTCCAGCATGAGCGGTTGGTGTGGAAGGAGGAGAAGGAGAAGGTGATCCAGTACCAGAAGCAGCTACAGCAGAGCTACCTGGCCATGTACCAGCGGAATCAGCGCCTGGAGAAGGCCCTGAAGCAGCTGGCCCATGGGGACGGTGCAGGGGAGGCCTTTGAAATTGACCTTGAAGGGGCCGACATCCCCTACGAGGATATCATAGCCACTGAGATCTGAGGGGCCTCCTGGGAGAGGGAGAGCCTGGGACCTGACATTGGGAAGCAGGGGTACAGAGCCTGTAAAGGAGGGCTTCTCTCCCCACTACCCTGCTCAATAACTCATGTCTCTGAGAGAAGCCTTCCTCAAGGCACAGACCTGGGACCCAACAGGGGAGGAGAGAGAAGGAGAAGGACTGCTACATGACTTTTCCAACCCTTGCCCACATTCCAGCATATACCATCCCTCCAGCCCACCAGACCTCTAGCTTTCCCAACAGATGCATCCAGGGATCTCCATCATTTGGTTAATAGATCCCTAAACCTTGCCCTTTGTTTAAAAATATTTAGACCCTCTCCCAGGGATGATGGTGACTGCCATATTGGCCAATGGCCACCCCATGACAGAAACTCCCTTCTGTGTGTTCCCACAACTGCCTTTTTGCCCCTGAACACATTGGGATGCCTTGGGAATAGAAAGAAGCCATCTGTGACCATAAGCCTTGGATCCTGACCTGTTTATAACCTGAGCTATTTTCCTGTGGTCTCCGAGTTGTAGGGCTTGTAGTGAGGTGTGGGGAACCTTGCTTAGCAACATCAGAGCTGTCCCAATTCTGGACAGCCACAGACAGGAGGGGAAAGCTGGGGCAGCCCAGGAATGTCTAGACTCTCTAACCAGAGAAGGTTAGAGGGAGAAGCCAGGTAGTAATGACCAGACCCTGCTGGGCCCTGCTAACTGGAGGTGAGCAGCCTTGGACAACTGGTAGCCCAAATTTGACTTCAGTGACCACTCTTCTTAAAGCCATAGACACTGAGGCCCTGGGGAGGGGGAGATTAAAAGCACCTGACACAGGGTGGGTGTGGCTTATAGGTCAGGGGCAATCCCCAGAGCCCCAGGCAGAGAGAAGAGGCACAAATACAGCCTTAATGAACAGCCCCAGGGCCACTGGCTAGCCTCCCTCCACCTGGGCCCCATAGGAGCCCCCAGCTGTAAAGAAACCAGAGGGCTTCAGCTTTCTGGGGGCTGGGCCAGTACCTGGTAGAGGAAGGGGGGGTGGGGAGGGGGTGCTGGTGTTTCTTTTCTAAAGATGTGTAGAGCTGGGGGAGGAGAGAATGGTGGAGTTTCTCAGTTACGTGGTTCACAGAAAAAAATTTTTTTTGGTCTTCTTTCGTCTTTTTTTCTTTCTTGTCTTTTCAGAAGCAAGCCAGATCTAGCAGGCAGCCAGAACTGTTCCATGTTCTATTTTTGACTCAAGCTACAGCTGCTGTTCTTTCTTAGGACAGCCAAGCCTTGCTGGATTCCTGAGTTTCATGCCTGCTTGCTGAGAGGGGTTCACTGAGGTAGGAGGGATGAGAGTCTGGATATTTAGCAATCTGAGACCAAACCCCTGGTTCTGCCTCCCTGACCACAGTCTTTACAGGACCCAGAGTGGGAGTGAGAGCTGCTTCTCATCACCCTCCCCCCACCCCAACTACAGCCCCCATTCCTCCAGAGCCACCACGTTCTTTCTGAGTTGGGCTGAGGGCAGGTCCACCTTCCCTGCAATTGGCTCTGCCTTCTAGTCCCTGAGGTTAAACTGTGCCTGTCCTGCTGCCTTCATGTGACAGAGGAGCTTTCCTGGAATTTCAAGCAATTGCTCTTAGTCATAGGCTAGATTTAAACCTGAAACGGATAGACTAAAAGCCTCCTTCCTGCCTGGAGGGCAGTGCCCTCCATAGGGCACAGTGCAGATCCTCAAGTCAAAGATATCCCATTCCCTAAGCCACACTGTTAGAAAGTGGAACAGGGATGGTATACTATCTCCCAAACTGAGAAGGCACTTTGAGACCAGAAAACAAAGCAGGTGACTCCATTCAGTTTACACAGAATTTTATTCAGGGTAATGTACTGACAGAATAGGGTGGGGGATGATCCAGGCACTCTACACAGCTATTCTCCACAAAGTCTGGACCTTAGTCCACAGATTTTATACAGCCAGGGAACACACAGAAGGGCATTATAGTAAGATCAAAGGGTTTGCATGCACCTAATTGACAGCTAACCTTTAATTAGATCTTGTGGCACCACCTGTTCATCAGGAAGAGGAAAGACTGTGTTCTAACAGATTCATGGGAGGCTGAAACAAGCCTCCCCCAATACCAGCCTTGGAAGACATGTCTAAGGTACGTATGTTAATCTCCGAGGGGCCCAGAACACGTATTCCCAAGAGAGGTCATCAAGTGAACACGAACAAGATGGAGGGCCAAAAATGGAGTCTATATTGTCAGCACTCCTACACACGGCCCTCATTCCCTCTATTTTCACCAGCCTGTGCCTTGTTTGAGTCCTTTTTCTTATTGAGATTGCCACGAGATAAAGGGGCTGCTGTTTCCTTCCCAGGCTGGAGATACCCCACCACTCCCCACCCCCAGAAAGCAGCCAAAAGCCTGGCACCCTGCACTCAAGACCTTGCCTGAGAAGAGGTGTGTGCTAAGCCCAGGGGAGGGCGCTCAGGGGCAAGGTTTGCACTCCACCATGGTGTGACACTGCCCTGCACTCTGCATCCTGACCTAAAGCCAAACCATGGATGCCCTACCTGGTCTGCCACCAGCCCAAGGCCCCAGAGTAGCCCAGAGTGGCACCAGAGTGCAACAGTGTAACATAGCGACCTCACTGCCATGTGGTTTTTCTTCCCTTCCCCATGCCAAACTCAGCCTTTCTGGAAGGAGGCTCTGAACAACAGAGGCTGAGCAGGGACTGGGAAGTCAGATGACAGGGCTTCAGAGCAGAGGGTCTGGCCCAGGGCCAGCCAGCAGGAGCTGGCTGCCCTTTGCTCTGAACACTCCTGCTGGCATACTTGCTCATTCAGTCAGATCCACTGGCTCTGCTCTTCCAAAGGATGCTTGGTCTGAAAATGCTCTGGCTGCCTACAAAGAGATAGCAAGCAGCATCCAGCACCACTTCACCAAGAAGGGGACTCTGCCTCCGGGCCTTGCAATGACCAGACTCTCTCAGGGTTCCCCTGGGGGTATTTCTTCTGGCTACTGTGTCCTGCTGGGTGCACTCTGGCCTCCACAGGCACTGAACTCTACAGGGACCGGGGAGAGCTAGCTCTCCCCTGAGAAGCACTTGCTGAGCCTCTGCTCCTTGCCCTGCTCTTGCCCCGGCCCAGCTGAGAGGGATACCCAGAGGAAGGCAGGCTGGGGCTAGCAGCTTTGGGAGAGGGCTTTCCCCATGGATCCTGAGTTCTCCTGAGCCAGAGCTGCTGTGGCAGGAAGCTGTGCACCCTGTACAGTAGATGCTTCCCTCACCTGTGGTGTGGTAGGTCTTGTGCTGAGTCCACAGGCAGAGCTGGAACCTCCAGTCAAGGCTGGCTTTGGACAGACTGGCATTTGGAAGAATATGCACATAGTTATTTTTCTCTAGGTGGTTTCTTGTTATTTTGTTTGTTTGATTGATTTGCTTTTGACAGCTTTGTTTTATTTTTGATGCCCAAAAATGGCCATGTAAACTATTTCTGATAATTTTATGTTTCTATTTATGAATAAAGAATGCCATTTCTCATGCCCTCTAGAACCACTTTTGTCTACTCAAGCTACCCTGCTTTTTCAGGCTGTGGCATGGCAACATCTTGGGGCTTCTCCACCTGGAACAGGAAAGGTGACATCTCAACCTGCCAGTGAGAGAGGTGCAGACAGCCTTGATGAAGGCAGTGTTGGCTGGTGGCAAAGCACAGGCCTTGGCATCATGTGGACTTCCAGCCAGTCTCTACTACTCTCCAACCCTGTGATTTTATCTATGAACAGACCCTGGACTGATCCTGAGGAAGGAGAAAAGGAGACTAAGGGACATGGTTGTCTGCAAGGCACAGGGTCCTCTCCAAAAGAGAACCCCTCCACCAACCCCAACCTCAGCCTCCCCTTTCTCATGTTCTAGCTGCTCACCTCACCAGCAAATTCCTTGGCCTATTTAATCCAGCCTCTTTGGCAGGAGACCAGAGTGGCTCTTGTTGCTACTACCTCAGAGTCTCCCAGCTGGGAAGGTGCAGTCACCACAGTGGCCATCTGTCTAGCCTTCTCCAAGCCAACCTGCCTGTTTCACCTTGACAAGGATTCCCAGCTTCTCTGGACTCAAATCCTACACTCAAAGGGCTTCTACTCAGATGGCATGAGACAGAAGGGACATGTAAAAAGAAAACTGAAAACACAAGGTAGCCTATGGAACACATGAGGGGTAGATGGCAATGCCTCAGAGAGGGGACAGATCAGGGTGTCTGGGAAAGGAGGCAGGCAGGAGAGTGCCTGGAGAGCAACCATGGGACATAAGAGGCACAAGCAGAAAGGGAAAGACAGGAAGCACATCCCAGGACAGGTGTTCACACTTGCCTGTCTATACAGGTGACAGGAGCAGCACTGAAGGTTGGAGAGGCAGGAGGCCAGGGTGCAGTAAGCCTCCAAAGCCAAGGAAGGTCAGGCAGCTGAGAAGTGACCAAGCCAGGATGGGAGCCTACATCTATTTAATTTCAAGGCCCAGTACTGGAACAAAGGGGTCATCTCAGGCCTGGAGTAACACGTCTTGTTCTTCCTCCTAGATCTGACTCATGTTGGGTAGGGTATTGCATTGGTGACAGCCACTGCAATATGCCTTCCCCTAATCACATCCTGGTGTGGCCCCTCCCCTTTAGTTCTGGCAGGTCCTGGGACTCACTTTAACCAATTAAAGTCAGCAGAAGTGATGCCCAACCCATTCTAGCCTAAGCTTCGAAGGCAACCTAAGCTTGGAAGCTTCCAAATGTATATTCCTGGGGGCCCTGAGCTGCCAAGTAAAAAGCCCCTCTGGTATGCTGGAGAGATCATCAGACTGGGTCAGTCATCATCCATTGAGCAGGAGTAATCCTGTTGTCCCAGCTAGGCTCCAGCTAAGTGCAGCTGATCCAGCAGACCCCCCCTTTGAACAGGGGTTTGCTTCCCCCCATCCTGCCCTTCCAGAATCCTGACCTCAGGACCATGAGCACATTAAATGGCAGTGTTTTTAAGCCACTAAATTCATGGTGATTTCTTATGTGGCATAAAAATAGCCATTCTCTAGCAACCCCATTACTTGCTGCTTCAACAAGCCTCTCTCTGTCCAACAGGCTAGGAGTAATAGAAAAGCAGGACTCTTCGAAATGTGTGGCGCTAAAGACTGCTTTAGCTGTAGGACGGGCAGCAAAGTAGAGAGCAAAGCCTTCTTCCTGCCCATCTTCCCCTGAAGTGTTGAGGACACAAGCCTTTTCTTAAGCCCCCAGACCTACTTATTATTTTAGAAAAAGGGGGGTGGGGGATGAGAGAGAGAAAGAAAAAGAGAGAGGGGCTCCTCCTCTCCAGAGAACAAGCAGCTGGAGCCTCAGCCTGTCCAGTACTAGGAGCACAGTCTCAGGGTCCTCATAAAACCAGGAACATAGTGTGCACACTTGCGCCTGTGAGGTGGGAGGCAGAGCGGCCACTGTCCCCAGGCAGCCTCTGCATCAGGTGCTTTCTG